AAACCAGCTCTAAACTTATTAAACTTATGAAACTTCAGCTCTGAAGCACCAAACCTAAAACCAGTTAAAATTACTTAGTTTCTGCAAATAAATCCACATCATCTGAAAGAAGGACTTTTTTTCCATAGTTAATATTGTATGCCTCAATAACATGAATAACATGTGCTTTTCAACAGTTGCAAACATTGTATACTTCATGTTAAAGCTTTTGAAAAATTTTTAATCTCTTATAACATCAGAATCTCTTGTTATGATGCCCTTGATGGATGACAGGTTGACGAACTTGTTTCTGTGATTGTTGATGTTGCCAAGTAGGTATGGAAAAAATGGTTTCTACTCTAAGAATCTGGGAAATTCTGGGAATCAAAAAGAAGTTAGTAAGATTTATAAAAGGCATCAATGAATACTTAAATTAAGTATTCTAAAGTGGCTTCTTCGCAGGCATCATCACTGGAACAACTACCAAACTGCTATGCAATGAGATTTCCTGCCCTTGGCCTGATTCTTACATGGCAGCAGAAAGCAAATGACATCAGGTACAGTTGCTTTATGACACTACTGTAGACAAACTTTTGATGGCCCCTTCAGGTCACTTTCTTGCCTCTAACTATTATATTCTTAATAAAACTACAAAAGCATGTAGGATAAATCTACAAAAAAATCACAACTAAAAAGAAAGGTAGACTTTAAAAAAAAAAGCCAATCATAACAAAAGATGTAACAAACATCTCAACAGCTCTAAAGAGATTAATAACCCTTGCAAGTTCTAATGACATCATAATTGGATGGAGTAACCTCAGTTAGTAAAGGTCACCTGATTTGTATATCACCATGAAATAGTCCACTTCTTTTCAAAAGTTTGCCTTGAAAATAAAACTAGTATGTCTTTCTGATCTTTAAAGTAGATTAATAGCTGCTTTGAACAGAATATACTACCTAATTAGAAATTACAAAATAGAGAAGGCCAGTGGGGAAAAAAAACCCCTTCCTCTTTCTATTTCAGTCAAGTCCAGTTAAATATTTTTCATGAAATTTCACATTAAATTATTGGTTTCACAAGAATTATTTCCTGTTCTTCTTCAACTCAGTAAAAAGGACATGTGCACTGGCAAAATTTTTATTTTTCTTTAGAAAAAATGCATTAATGAAAACTCTGAATTTGAAAATTACACACTACAAAGCTAACAACAGTAAAATGATTGAATATTTGAAAAATAATAAAAAAGCAGCAATTCTTCCACTTTTCTATGTTTAATTGAATCAGTTGTTTCTGTGTATTATGGGAATACATTTATCAGAATCTGTAGAGACCAAATGTTAATTATGAAGGCCAAGAAAAAAAAGAATAATCTCACATATAGACCTTGACACATTAGAACTGCAAAGCACTCTCAGATCTTATTTTATGAAAATGTACTAAGAGCGCAAATGTATAGACCCTTAGGAAGCAATTATCCCTAAAAGATTTAGCTATAATTCAATGTGAAATATAATAAGAGATTTTTAAAAATGGTTTCATAAAGAAGAGGATTATTTTACTTTAACTATGGAAATAGAGGCCCACATGCAACTCCGCATGACCTCTGTGCAGCTGTGGGCATTGCCTGGAGGGAAGATTTGAAATTGGCCTTTTCAGTCAATTAATACAATCCCTTATTACCAATAAGGATATTACTAAAAATTAGGGGTGCCAGTTTGGCATTGTGGGGCTGAGTGGCCCACAATACCGTAAGGAATTTTCTATGCAATACATACATTAAATTTGGAAATTTTAAATCACATACTACTAGTATGTATGCAGAGGTTAGTTAAGAAGAGCTATCTTGCCAAGATGTGCAGATGTTATATGGCACAGTAAGATGAAATAGCATGTTACAATGTACACTGCATGCCTTCTGTGACACATGTTTTATTTGTCACATTATCCTCAGGTGTGACATGGAATCTAAATGTGTAAAACAAAAATCTGCAAAAGAGTGCTTATATCATCCTTGTGATTTGCAGATCCTGAATCTAGCCAAATTACTGCCACCACACATCTCCCACAGTCATAATGTGTCTCCCTGCCCCTGTGGCTTACTCCTGACTATGGATAGCTACTGTCTCGAAGGGTGGCATAGCCCTGTGAGCTGATATATTGAAAAATAAATCTGAAAGCTTGCAAATTATTTTGCCTAATAGAGCCTAATAGAGTGGACTGAAATTGGTTTCTTGTGGACTAGACTTACACTTTTTTTCCTTCCAAGCAACTCACTACTGGGAAATTATTTTAAAAAGTAAAAAAGAAACAATAGCCATTGAGTTTTGTTCTTACCTGTATTTCAGGGTCCCATAGAGGTAACGATCTCATCTTTTATCACAAACTTTCACACCACCCCTAATCTAGCTGATCCTGATTACTTTATTTTTATCCAGTTAAGATTGTAAATATTCCTTCACCACAACTGACGTTTACACTTCTGTTACTCCCTTAAGAAAATCTAAAGCAGATCAAACTCCTCATTCAGAGGATACATCTTTTGCCAAACTGAATCAACAGATTGCCTCAATGCTAATTAAGTGTAAGAGAATAGGAAAAATTACAGGCTTTTTTAAAAGACACTTCCTTGGTACAAACTGTCCTGGACAGACTCAGAAGAAATACCTGGATTCCTTCTGCTGGACTGGTTAATAATACATAGCACAGTTCTCCAGTTTGCATGTGGAGGTGGTTAAAATAAAAAAAAAAAAAAAAAAAAAAAAAAAAAAAAAAAAAAAAAAAAAAAGTAATTCCTTGGATTATGGTGGCAACAAAAGCTGAGTTGATATTTACCCTGGACCACAGAGACAAATGACGTGTCCTATTTCTCTGAAAATGGACAAATGTCCAGAAGGTGCTCTGCAGTGGAGAGGGGACAGGACGTGATGCTTGGGTCTGTATCTGTGCTCTGTGTGCAGCCTTGCAAGAGCTCCTGAGTGCATACCAGAGGCAGGAGGTGACAGCCAAGAACACGAGGGTTTCACAGGGGAGGTGTGTGACCTGTCACAGGGCTCTGGCTGGTTATTTCCTTCTGTGGGAGCTGTGCTGCTGACAGCAGCAGGAGCGCCCCAGCCACCTGCAGCCAGCCCCAGAGCCCCGACCAAACCCACTGCCAAGTGAGTCTCTGACATGACTTTCATCTTTACTGGACATCAGTTTTCCAGGCTGTTTCCACCACACTGAAGCGGGTGATAAGGTTTTCATTTACATGAGGTCAGGATGCATGCTCATGTGCTGTATATCAAAGCTAACTACCATTGGCAATATTTCAATGGGGCATTTAAAAGTTTTCGAGGCCAAGAATACAACCTGGCCTTTTCAAAAATATTCCACAGGACCTGTCCTCACTATTGGTAACAGTAATATGAACTGAGACAAACTCTATGGAGCTATTATATTAAAAAAGTTCAACTTACAAAAAATTGAAAAGCAGTCTTTTTTCTTCCCCAGACTCTCATCTCTAAGAGACTATGATCAATTAACCTTTAACTTTGAAAAATAAAAAAATTCCTGTGACAGCCAGAAATGAAATTCTTTAAAGATTAGGTGCTGGGAGAGCAATATCAGGCTTAGAATGAAATCCTAGTAACGCTCTGAACTATCAAATCACTTCTTGCTCTGAAAATATAACTATTCTCTAAGTGTTATGACAGACAACATGAAATGCAAAAAGCATAGCTTAAATAAAACTTTTTTTCTAGCATAAAGGCTCTCTGCACAATATTTTCAATGACACAGAAAAAACAAGTCAGCATGCAATTAATGAAAAACAATACTATGTTCAGTAAGAAGTATGCTTGGCAAGCACTAACTTTTAGTGACACCGGATTTAAAATAATGCTGTTATTGCAGTCAGAAACAGCCCCTAAATGTTTATGATCTCCATTTCTAGTCATCTGCTTTCAGTATTACACATCTGATTTTGCAATATTCACTGCAGATTTTGAAGGTAATTATAAATCCATGGAATATACAGCATTTGTGCAGCACACAGCCTCTCTCAATTTATTATTATTATATTTATTGTTTTTCTTCTTGAAAAATGTCAAACTACACAAGGATTTACTTTTATTCTTATACCTAGCTTCGGACAAGTTGTTCTATGTATAATGATGTTTCCCAAATTAAATAAAAAAATAGAAAAAAGGAGGCAGACGAAAAATCTATCTGTTAGTGAGATACCTTTGGATCTTACCGTCTAAATCAAACAGTTTCAAAATGACAACACAGTATAAACAGAATAACTTCTGTATTTGTATTGTATCTCCACTACCGATAAAAGAGATTTTTAAGACTAAAGTGGCTGAAGAGGTGAGCACAATGCTTGCACATCTTACCTGGCACAGTCTCTTATCCTGGCTAGCGGTGAGATTGCAGGGTATGTAGCTATCAATTCCACTGACATTACAATTTCCCTTTCTCAAAGCAGCAATAACCTGTCACTTTACACTGTCCTTTCTCTGACCCTCTCCCGCCTCACTGCTCATTTTTATTCTTATTGACAAGACTTATTATTCCTCCTCCCAATTCCAAGTAGCTACTCTTTCGCAAATAGTAGCATCAACTATGTGGTCACTAGTAGTATCGGTCAACAATATTATTAATATAGCACACACTGCTGGGAGCAGATCAAACAGCCAGGCTTTAAAATATTAGTTTTGCAAAGGTACCACGAGGCAAATAATTCCAGTTTTCTTCACCTTATACAATGTAATATTGCAAGGACAGATCTCAAGAATTTAGTGTTAATTACCAGCCCAATAATTTGGAGTATATGTTATATTTTTTCTTGTTGCTTTCAAACGCAAAATAAAATAAAACCATAGCAGAAGGGTGCTGTATCTGTGTTTAAAGAAGCAGTTGTTGGCAAACACCATAGCTCACTTCTGCTGAAATGTACACAACTGATATATGCAGCCCAGAAAGCTGGCACCAGGGGCTTACAACCTTAATTTGCCTGCAAGAAGAAATGGAGATTTACCTTCAGAGCACGTTCTTGATTGTTTTCAGCAGTCATATGTCTCGTGTTGTTTGCTGAAGTCTGGTTCTGCTCTTTCAGATGATGAAGCTCCTGCTCCAGCCGTTTGCACTGCAACGAGGAAAGAATCCCATTAAGTAGAAGAGTGTGGGCATATTTTTTTTCAACAAGCCAAAATAAGCCCATCACCATTTCTGCAGCAGTGAAAGCATCAGACAAAAGCAAGTTACAATCCCAGACAGTACTAAAGCTATGTTTTTAAAATGTGTATCGTTATTCAGTTTCTTCCTGGTCCAAAAGTATGCCAAAAACACTATGTATCAGATATTTATCAGAATCTTGGGTTGAATGTTGGCTCATAGTTATGCCAATATATGGCTAGATTTTGGCTTTTATGCATTAAGTAAGTAGATAAAAAGGAAAGAATTCATGCATTTTGAAATGCAAGCAAATGAAAGACCCTCCTCCCAAATCAAGGATCCAGCCTTTTATTAGAAAATATAGATTGAATTTTTAGACTTGTATTTTTCATACTAAGAGGTTACTCTAATTCTCCAAGATTGTTTTCTTTAAATATTTAACTTAATGACAAAAAATGAGAAAATTAGAACTTGCTACTGTGTACCTATACATGTAGACTTACTGCTGTCTGCTGAGCATTTATTTTAATAATTAAAAATCTGCAAGTTAAAAGCAAATTATATTTTGCTCTTTTTAAAATTAACTATAAAAGGTCTTGCCCAGTTCTGTGGTTTGAAAGAGCAATTAGTTGTCTGCAGACAGTTCTTTGCCTTACAAAAAAAAAAAAAAAAAAAAAGGAAAACAAAAAGACAACAAAGCAGACAAAGTACCAAGAAGACATATGGGAACAACTGTTAGAACTAGGGAAAAGCAGAGTACCAGGAGAAGCATTTTCTAACATATTACAAGCCAGTAGTTTGGATATGATCACCAAAGCCCACAGCTAATAGACTGTAGGAACGAAAGACAATTGATAAAAAACATTTTAATACACACTTTTTGACAACATTAGCAAGTAAAAAGAATACGAATTGTGATATAATGCCCACGTAAGCATGTAAGCATTGCTGTCTCAAAAGACCTGAAATGTCAGTCTCTTGTGGTGTCTTAGTGACTATGGACAACATAGAACTGAACTTCCTATCATATATATGCACCCTATTCCTGAGCAATTCTTATATATGTAAATGTTATTATCTTAATATCTTATATTGTCCCATAAGTATGTGAGACAATGAAGCCTTCCTCATGTAAACTCTAAAAAAAAAAAGAAAAACTGTGAAACAGAAAGCTTCAGAACTGAAAAAATTACAAGTGAGGTCTAAGTAAAACAACAAATGCTACATGATCTTGAGACAGAAATTTAAAGACATGCCAAGACATACAATACTTAAACAGAAAATAAGACCTAAAAATATACTGCTCATCAGGTATCCAGTATAGTATATAAACAAGAATGATCCAATCCTCTATTTGAATAAATTTTAAACATTTGTAGAAGCCCAAAAGTACTGTTAAAACCTCCATTCACATATCTATTATATTTCCTTACTTCTGTTAGAAATCTGTGCTTATTTCTAATAGGATTACCTATTTTAAAGGCAGTGCATTTTTCTGGCCTAGTACATTCTCTCAATATGCGTTGTAAATTTTCTTAATGTACAGTTTAATTTTTATTGCAAAAAAAAAAATACATTTTCCCACAGATAGGGAAATACAAAAAAAAAAAAATTAAGATACATTTGGTGGTAAGCATTTTCATATACTTGAGATATTTAACATCTGTGTTTATCATACACCCCCCCATCCCCAAAATCACAAATCACAGAATCCCAGATGTAAATATTTTTCCACATGCAGCATTAAAACTATTTGTTTGCAGACATGAAGGTGCTACTAAAACTAGTAAAGAACTAAACACAGATTATGTTTCTTTTTTCTCTAGCAACATTTTTTTCCTTGGCTTATGTGATCTAAACACCATTAAAAAAAAATCAATCTACCACTGCAGGCACTATACATTACATCATGTATAATCACCAGGACACTCACTGTTCTGCTGTGCCAACATTCTTCTTCAAAACAGTGTTTTGGAACCCACATTTGACAACACAAGTTTACATAGAGTAAATATTATTTAAAAGACTAAAATCTCAATTTACCTTTAAAATCTGAATTTATAATCATGTTATTCTCTTGATTCCAAAAGGCATGTGAAAACATGCTATGAGCAAAACCTAGCTACCTGAATACATGAGAAAAGATCTTGGTGTATAGAGCAGACTGTACCACTGAGAGCATGGGTGCATCTTAATTCTGCTCTCCACTTCACACCTGTGAAGACAGGACACTGAAATAAAGAGCAGCAGTATGACTCAAGGATCTTGCAAAATACAGAACAAATAAAGTACAGTAAAGATGCAACACAGGTAACATAAAATGGATAAACCTCCCTATCAAGTCAACCTTGATATGATTACATTTACATCAAACTTGGGAACATTTTGTACTTTCATTTCATTTCTACTGAGAGTGTTGATATCTGAAAAAACCCCTGGGGCATTTTCAACTAGTATACTGCTTGAATTCAATTTGGGACATCATTGAAAGAAATGGTGATCTAATTTGACCTTTGCACCTGAGTGTTTTACTATATTGGAAACAATACATTTACAGAAGACATTCAGATTTATTCTTGGCTGTCTAGAAAGTAAAATCTTCCATTACCCTCCTTGTGAAAGCATTATAATAACAGTCTTAAACAGCAACACTGTGTATGTCTTAAAAATTTTATACTTTACATCTTTGATACCTGAGCCACTCTGAAAATATTAAACCAGCATTCTAAAGGTAAGCACTCCTTTTCACAAGAGCAGAAGCATGTGAAATTTTAGTGCAACCTTGCTGTAAAGAAAGTTTTATAAATAGAATTTAAAACAATGCAGCCCTTCTATTCATTTGAGCCAACATTTTTGAATTCTGTGTCACTAGTTGTTAGCAAGGTCCAGTAAAAATAGATGTTCTTTAAAAGAACATATGTTTTTATTGGTTCACTCCAGGCCTCTAAAATGCCAACAGCTGCAAGTAAGAACTGAATTTCCTTCTAAAAACATATATAAAAATACTTTTTGGAGCACAGAGAAGACATCATCCAACTCAGTACTGACAAAAAGGAAATATTGGATGTATTCTTTTAAGAAAGCTGAAAGCTAAAGGAAGTGTTTAATTTGAGATACTATGTCTAAATTCTGTTATCTCAAACTTGCGAAAATTCACACTTGGGAAAACTTCAAATAGGCAATATATTTTGTGCAACACACAATCATTACCTAATTACCTAAGCATTGGATTGAGATTTAATTGTGGCCCTAAATGCAAATTCCCATCAGTTCAACATGTTACAAAACACGGGCTGTTAATTGAGAAAACTGCTTCTCTACCTCAGATACTCTGCGTGCATCAAGGAATATGAGAGCAGCGTGGACACATGTCAATGAGAAAATGTCTTGATCAGAACACTGATGACCTTGTCAAGTAAAGGCTACTAAAGCCTCAGAATTGGTAATATAATTTTATAAAGGTATTACACAAACAACTTACTATGAATTAATTTACTGCATAGTCTACTGTGTGCACTCACAGCTCTGTAGCCAGAGAGGCAATATAGACAACTGAAGGTACAAAAAAACCCTACCCCAAAATCAATCCTGACAAAGGTTTCCTCTCTTGTTTCAAATCCACACATCTGTTCTCTCTGAAGGTATTTCCCCCAAAAAATCTACTACCTCAGCAAGCCTGAATCACATGATAATGTACTTGACAGACAATTAACTTCATTAAACCTACTCTGAGTGTTCCTTGAGCAACCATAACCCAGCTGTACAGTTGTCAGTACAACATCATCCATTCCCAGCAACAGGGACTCAATCTTCTCTTTAACTGTATTTCCACCAAGCAACTCCTCTAAATACCTGCAGTCTTTTGAAACAAATACCTCTGCACTCAGCATAGGATATATCACAAGCAGCTAAGACACAAAATGAAAAGCAAAGCACGTAACATACCAAAAGGATAACAAAAAGATTCAGCCAGGAAAGCAAGGACAGATAGCAAGTAAACATATCCTTCCCTCCCATCTTAAAACGTAAATTATTAGGCTACTGTTGAGTCTTTTATAATGAGCATCAGGTAACATGATTCAGCAGAATGAGGATGTTTGTGAGAGGCACCAGTTCAAGCTGCACTGGGCGCTGACCCCTTTCAATGACTCCCCATGTGGGAATGTTGGAACACTAAAGGGAAAATCCAGACAAATTGAAAAAGGAGCATCTGCTAAAAGGGACACTGATAGAGAGGTCAAGAGATGGACCAGGAGAATATCACTGAGTAAAGCTCATGAGGCCCACCCAGAAAGTGACTGTTAAAAGACAGCCCCAGCTCCAGTTATACAAAAGGAATAAAGATGGTTTACCTTGAATCAAGTATTTCAGAAGATAGAAAAATCAATGCAAATAACCACTTAATAGTGTTTGGCCTTTACTAGAAAATGAGGTTGCATTAACATATCAAACATAACTTTAGCACTTGTATAAACAAATCATCTTTAACATGCTGTCAGCTTTTCAGCATTTTCTTCTTCAACTTGTACCTGTAACACATTAACATAGTGTTACAGTGCCTGCCACACCTACACAGATTGATAAGTTAGTTTTTGATCATTATTTAACATGATCCTTCAGTGAGATGTTCTCAAAGTAAAAGGTTCAGACATTACACAAAAGTAAAGAAAAACTTGCAAGCCATTGGAGAAATAATGTTAGTAGGGACAAAGATGGAATACAGCAAAGCATTAACATTGAGCAGAGCGACCTCCTGTCCCCACCTATTTGGTCCCTGTGTAGTGTGTATGAAGATACCTATCCCCAGAGGTTTCATGCAGAAGCATGTTTAACTCTGCACATCTTATGTCAATCAGTCTGTTCATGTGCTTTCAAAGTTTTCAAATTTTGCTACACCAGGGTCCCTCACTCTCATCTCATTGAACTAGGATGGTAATGTCAGATGAATTTCTCATTTTCAGCATAGTTTTG